GGGGGGGGGGGGGTGGCTCTGGGGTTTCTGATCCATAACACATAGTAACTATTCTAAACATCAAATCCCCTCAGACACATTTTTTTCTTAGCAACACTTTTCTTCCACGGACATATTTATTCTTCCACATCTCCCAGCCAGCAAAAACTGGCCTGGAGAACAGGTATTTTGAGGAACAGATCCTTTGGGTGCCCCTGAGTGTAGCCTAGCAGCACTATACGATGCGTCCTTAGGGGTGCAAAGTTTCTTGATTGAAGTTTTGAGACTAACGTTCCAAGTCCTTTAACAAACTTGTTTAGTAAATCACGCCGTAGTTGGTGACATTGAACGAAGAGTATTCATAGATTATCATAATTTGAACTCAGTTGAACTGTTGCAAATAAACAATTTAAACAACTCTTGATCGGCTGAAAGTGAAAACTGGCTTTGTCGGTGGATTACTTTACGTCAAATTCTTACCTAACTTCCACTTGCTGATTTGTAGATGAGTGTAAAACGGGACTACATAACTGCCACGATGATGCATACTGCACCAACACCAAGGGTTCCTTCACTTGTACTTGTAAGCAAGGATATTCTGGGGATGGTGTTAACTGTACAGGTAGCAAACCATACGGAGCTTAAACTAACAGGATTTCATCTTTAGTTTTATGCTATTCCATACCATAAAGATTACAGCCACTCAGAAAGCTAGCTAAAGCTGGAAACCGGTTTCATTTTTAGACGTGGTATGTCATAGATCAGTAGTATCTTGGTGTTGTGGACTGGTGCAATCACAAAATGACGTAATACAAAAGATTAAAAAGACACTGAACAATATCCACACCACATAACAATTATAGCTTACAAAGAATAGTTTCCCCATCACCAAGAAACACCCCACAGGTCGTATCTACGATGAATGTTGATGTTACAGTCGAGCCTGTATTGAGTGGTCACCCTCGGGGAATGGCTAAGTGACGGCTTAATACAGAGTGATCGCCTAATACAGGTTGCACGAAATACAGTTCAAAGAATTAGATCTCCAGTGCTGATCAGAACAGACATTTGACCTCAAATAGAAACATTCATTTCTGGCGTTTTAATGGTTTGCGAAAATAAACAAGGAAATCAATTGTTGTACCTAGTGTGTTACATTATTTAAAACTGTGAACACCATGTGACCGTTTAATACAGGTTACGACAATAGAAAAAGTCTAGTTGGGACTTAGCAAATGGTGACCGCGACCGCTTAATAGACATCGAAATTACAGTACATCAAGAGAAGTAATTTTCGGGACTTTGAAAACTGACCGCTTAATAGAGGGTGGCCGCTTAATACGGTGCTGCTTAATACAGGTTCGCCTGTAGTTGCAGCCTCCAGATCCCCGTAGCCTGCAAACAGGCTCACATGGCGAGTTCGAGGAACATTTTAGCGCGTGCATTTCCTAGCCGTATTATTCTCGCTGGCTTTGCGTGCTCGAGCCGCCAAAATTTTCCTTTTTCGTAGGCTAAACTCCCTCAGCGAAAGCTTTTCAAGTGTGTGCAACATGAAAAACAGCGTCTACATTAAAATCGAACAAAGTCAGTTGATTATTCAGCATTAACTCTTGATTGCAGACATAAACGAGTGTGAGACTGGAGAACACCTATGTAACACCGATATTTCAGAATGCAAAAACAATAAGGGATCTTACAAGTGTGTTTTAGGTAAATATACCACCGAGCACTTCAAGATATGCTTATTGAAATGTATACTTTAAAATTGTCTTCTTCTTTTCTCGGGTTTACGTGGGTGAATCAGGTTGAAATGATAAAAGCATCGACAAAATAGGAATGTGTACGGCATATTATGATGCTTAACAGATCTACGGTTTGATAATTCAGCATTAACGCTTAATTTGCAGCAAGAGAGACAGTAAAACACAACTGTAACGCCACCAGTTCATTGTGCCGTAACACTAAACAGGGGCACCCAACGACAATTTTCGGAAAAATATCTTTTCGGAAGACGATTTGAGATCTAGAATTTTCGGAACATTTGTTGTAAAATTTCTTGCTTTTCTGCCTCTCCTAGGATTTTCGGACATCTAAAAAATGGTATAATTGCCTATTTTTAACGGATTTTTACCCTAAAAAGGTCACCTAGAATTTTCGGGAGCCTTTCTTCTGGCTAAAATTTTCGAAAAGGTAAGTTTTGATCCCTATAATTTTCGGATCACTTGACTTTCAGCTAGGAAATCCGAACAGATAAAAAATTTTTAGGGGATAAAAATATGCCTATATCTACCGTTTAAAAGGGGGGGGGGGGGGGGGGGGGGGGGTGGAGGGTGTACCCCGGATTTCAAGGTACAGATCCTTAGAGCTTTTGTTCCAACGCCCACTCTCCATTGTATACACAACGCTCCTCATTCAATCTCAATTGGATTATAGTGATATTGTCTGGGGTAATTGTGGAAAAACTTTGTTTGACAGGCTACAGAAGCTTCAGAACCGTGCTGCTTGTGTTCTAACCTTTTCTAGATTTGATGCTTATGCCAACCGCTTATTTAGACAACTTAATTAGAAAGACTTGAGCACTCAGTTTCAAATACAAAAAGCCCCAATGGTTCACAAGTCTTTAAATGATCTTGTTCCAGGATATTTATCATCTAAATTGTTAAACGATGTGAAACGCGCTACTCCCTAAGGGACTCTGTTAACAAACTGAGTGGGAACTAACTTCATAAAGAACAGCTTCAGTTATAGCGGAGAAGTGATATAAGAGGGCTAAATTTTTAACAATACCAATTAACTGCACTGAAGCACACATACCATCTCTGCGTTATGGCCAGTACCTTACGCATGCTCACAACCGTATCACCTGAGCAGAGGCAGCCATGGATAGTTGGGTCGCCTTTATTGGGGCTCATCAGCTTGGCATAGCCGTTGGGTCAATTAGCGGGGAATAGTTGGCGTAACAAAGACCATTTACTGCCGAGGCGAATGCAAGCACTGCTTTAAGCGCCAGCTCCACCGTAAACAAGTGGTAACTGTTGGTTGGGAACTGCAAAACAGTTCCCCCACGGCATGCTTATGGAGATGGTATCAGAAAAATTGACCTGTGTGGCCAAATAAATTTGAAACAACACCAATTAACTGCATTGAAGCACACGTATCAACTCCGCGGCCGGTATGGCCAGTACCTTACGCATGCGCACCACCATGAGCCCCAATAAGGGCGAAACAGCTGTGCATGGCTGCCACTGCCGGGGTGATATGGTTGTGCTCATGCGTAAGGTACTGGCCATAACGCGGAGTTGGTACGTGTGCTTCAGTGCAGTTAATTGGTATTGTTTCTAAATCTTTAAGTCAATTTAAGCGATTAACTAATCTGAATTTCTGATTTTTTAAGTTCTGTGTACACGGCATTCGTGAAAAACAGGTCTTAGTTAGGTTAGTTATATATAGTTTTGCATATTCTTTAGGGTAGTTAGGTTTATTTAAGACCCTTTATACTCCTGATGAATTTTACCGATGAATTATTCTTTTCTATTCCTGTCAGCTGAAATCCGGAGTACACCCCCCTCCACCCCACTGGCACGGATGCAAAACCGGAAGTCACTGGACAGTGTACAGGGGCACCCAACGGGAAATTTTAAAACAACAACAAAGCATCAATAAAACTTTCTGAAGCCATTTTAAGCATTTTGAGAGATTGCTACTAAAAATTAATCTGTTCCTCACTCCAAGGAAGACTGATGGAAAAGTTCCTAGCCAGCAAGGTGCACCTACAACCTACAACCTGGCATACTGGAAGTTTCCCAGCAGATGTATGTCCAGACATTACTGGCCAGTTTTGGTGTGGTCATAAGGCAAAGTTCACCCCTCAGCAGTAGGGATGGGGGGGGGGGGTGGCTCTGGGGTTTCTGATCCATAACACATAGTAACTATTCTAAACATCAAATCCCCTCAGACACATTTTTTTCTTAGCAACACTTTTCTTCCACGGACATATTTATTCTTCCACATCTCCCAGCCAGCAAAAACTGGCCTGGAGAACAGGTATTTTGAGGAACAGATCCTTTGGGTGCCCCTGAGTGTAGCCTAGCAGCACTATACGATGCGTCCTTAGGGGTGCAAAGTTTCTTGATTGAAGTTTTGAGACTAACGTTCCAAGTCCTTTAACAAACTTGTTTAGTAAATCACGCCGTAGTTGGTGACATTGAACGAAGAGTATTCATAGATTATCATAATTTGAACTCAGTTGAACTGTTGCAAATAAACAATTTAAACAACTCTTGATCGGCTGAAAGTGAAAACTGGCTTTGTCGGTGGATTACTTTACGTCAAATTCTTACCTAACTTCCACTTGCTGATTTGTAGATGAGTGTAAAACGGGACTACATAACTGCCACGATGATGCATACTGCACCAACACCAAGGGTTCCTTCACTTGTACTTGTAAGCAAGGATATTCTGGGGATGGTGTTAACTGTACAGGTAGCAAACCATACGGAGCTTAAACTAACAGGATTTCATCTTTAGTTTTATGCTATTCCATACCATAAAGATTACAGCCACTCAGAAAGCTAGCTAAAGCTGGAAACCGGTTTCATTTTTAGACGTGGTATGTCATAGATCAGTAGTATCTTGGTGTTGTGGACTGGTGCAATCACAAAATGACGTAATACAAAAGATTAAAAAGACACTGAACAATATCCACACCACATAACAATTATAGCTTACAAAGAATAGTTTCCCCATCACCAAGAAACACCCCACAGGTCGTATCTACGATGAATGTTGATGTTACAGTCGAGCCTGTATTGAGTGGTCACCCTCGGGGAATGGCTAAGTGACGGCTTAATACAGAGTGATCGCCTAATACAGGTTGCACGAAATACAGTTCAAAGAATTAGATCTCCAGTGCTGATCAGAACAGACATTTGACCTCAAATAGAAACATTCATTTCTGGCGTTTTAATGGTTTGCGAAAATAAACAAGGAAATCAATTGTTGTACCTAGTGTGTTACATTATTTAAAACTGTGAACACCATGTGACCGTTTAATACAGGTTACGACAATAGAAAAAGTCTAGTTGGGACTTAGCAAATGGTGACCGCGACCGCTTAATAGACATCGAAATTACAGTACATCAAGAGAAGTAATTTTCGGGACTTTGAAAACTGACCGCTTAATAGAGGGTGGCCGCTTAATACGGTGCTGCTTAATACAGGTTCGCCTGTAGTTGCAGCCTCCAGATCCCCGTAGCCTGCAAACAGGCTCACATGGCGAGTTCGAGGAACATTTTAGCGCGTGCATTTCCTAGCCGTATTATTCTCGCTGGCTTTGCGTGCTCGAGCCGCCAAAATTTTCCTTTTTCGTAGGCTAAACTCCCTCAGCGAAAGCTTTTCAAGTGTGTGCAACATGAAAAACAGCGTCTACATTAAAATCGAACAAAGTCAGTTGATTATTCAGCATTAACTCTTGATTGCAGACATAAACGAGTGTGAGACTGGAGAACACCTATGTAACACCGATATTTCAGAATGCAAAAACAATAAGGGATCTTACAAGTGTGTTTTAGGTAAATATACCACCGAGCACTTCAAGATATGCTTATTGAAATGTATACTTTAAAATTGTCTTCTTCTTTTCTCGGGTTTACGTGGGTGAATCAGGTTGAAATGATAAAAGCATCGACAAAATAGGAATGTGTACGGCATATTATGATGCTTAACAGATCTACGGTTTGATAATTCAGCATTAACGCTTAATTTGCAGCAAGAGAGACAGTAAAACACAACTGTAACGCCACCAGTTCATTGTGCCGTAACACTAAACAGGGGCACCCAACGACAATTTTCGGAAAAATATCTTTTCGGAAGACGATTTGAGATCTAGAATTTTCGGAACATTTGTTGTAAAATTTCTTGCTTTTCTGCCTCTCCTAGGATTTTCGGACATCTAAAAAATGGTATAATTGCCTATTTTTAACGGATTTTTACCCTAAAAAGGTCACCTAGAATTTTCGGGAGCCTTTCTTCTGGCTAAAATTTTCGAAAAGGTAAGTTTTGATCCCTATAATTTTCGGATCACTTGACTTTCAGCTAGGAAATCCGAACAGATAAAAAATTTTTAGGGGATAAAAATATGCCTATATCTACCGTTTAAATACTAAAATACGTTTAACAATTCTATGTTTAAGTGGTTTTGAACTATATTCTCGTTAGGTGCCCCTGACTAAAGGATCCTTTAGGTGTGCTTGCAGGAAAGGGTATTCCGAACGTGTACCTGAACATATTAAAATTTACTTAAGCAATAGACCACACTTTCAATAGGCGGCGTGATAACCCACTTGGGATGTTGGGAGAACACTCGAAAAGCTTGTAAATCACTCGTCTTCGGCTCGTGATTTACAAGCTTTTCTCATGCGCACTGTCCTTCGTGAAAGAATCAATGACGAAATGACGCATTGTCAATCATTTTTTTTACAGGTAGGATAGAGTCAAGTTGCAAGAAAATTTATGATAAGACCTCGTGAGTACAGTACATGTATATGTCAAATTCTTCGTACACGTTCTACGCCGACACACATGAACTGTCACGTTTTACGCGAGTGTTACGCAATGTTTTGTCTGTACAGTGGTGACATTTGATCTAATGCACCTATCAGTGGTTTCAATTTTCCCACCCTTGGGTCAATTTTGAGTCAAATTCCCATCTCTGGGGCGAATTAATAGGCACTCACAACAGTCTTTATTGCAGCACTGAGCGTCTCCAGAGAGAAATAATTACTTGGTGACAAATAATGGAACCCACAAACTTTGTGTATTTCCCCAAGTCTAGAAGACATATTCTGGCTGGATATTTAGTGTGGCTGGCAATTTAACAAAAATGCTTTCAGCCATACTCCCGAAAGTACCTTTGAATTGTTTCACACAGTGTTTAGAGCAATGCAAAATGTGCAATGCCATCCCGAACAAGACATGTCATCATCAAGAAGGGTTAATGATGTCTAAGGGCTAGTGTTTTGTACCTGTGGTCCAGAATTTCATTTAATTGGACATTTTGAGTATACTAGCAAATCTAACACAGAATTCCAGGTATCGTTCATGTCTTTTCGTATGATTTTTTGATCTTTCGTTTTATCAAAAACTTGTGGCAGGGCAGCATCTGCTGGAAACATGTAAGTAGAGAAGACTACTGCAAAGCTGATTCATAACAACGTGTATTGTTTTTTTATAACAATATTTCGGCTGGCCATACCAGTTCTTCAGGTTTACAGATCTGTAAACCCGAAGAAGGCTGGTATGGCCAGCCGAAATATTGTTAAAAAAACAAAATTATACACGTTAAGAAACTACGGTTTTCATTTCATATATGCGGGCCTTATTACACTTGTGGTTCATCTGTATTACATTTGAAAACTTTTACGTTTGTGGTCAATTATAACATTTCTCGCTTTAACGGCTTAACTATCCGTTTTACTGCAGCTTCGGAGTAGCCTGCGAGCAAGCTCTCCTATTTGTGCGAGCCTCGCTTGCCCAAATAGGAGAGCTTGCTCTCGTGCTACTTTCCGAGTGGGTACATATAATTCTTTTTTAGGCGGCACCACCCGATTCAAACAACCTTCTCTGCATTCGGCTGGTGCTACTTTTTGTAACCGTGCGTCTTTCTTTGTTGCAAGGTCGACATTGCTCCGTACCAAATGTCAGTTTTGTCCGCGACGTGCGAAAGATTGTCACATTCTTGTTTATATTTATTCTTTTTATGTCTCTAAATCCAATCGTTTATTGCATCCGATTGAATATGAGGACGGTCACTTACTAAAACATGTAGAGAAAACAAATCTTGTTTGATTTCATGCAGTGCCTCAAATATATCATTACAAAAATATCTATTTACTAGGAAGCGTGAGAACAAAGCCTACTTCCTGAATGTGGAGTCTAAACTAATTCCTGTGTACTGTCACATGGAAGCTGCTGAGTTTGGAGCATGCGGAGGCGGTGGATGGACGCTCGTCATGAAGACCGATGGCGAAAAGGTAGCAGCAGCGATGCATCAATTTTTGCCTCCGCAGGGATTTCGCCCAGAAGGCGAAATCCCGAGGAGGCACTCCAGTAACTCGCGCGTATAGTAAGGAAAGTACTTACAGCTGGAATATACAGTCAGTATGCCAGAAAAAATCTCGACTTGCTTGAACAGGGGCCACGAGGAATCGGTGGTTATGGTGACGTTTCTATTGTTTGCGCCCGCAAGTACGAAATGGTTAGGATGACGTGAAGACAGAAAATCTTGAAGGGACCGCTTAGGTAGATTTTGTGACATTTATTGTGCAGTCATACCTCGATACTCTTTTGCGTTACGTGTTATCAGTGACATTCTGTGAAGCAGTTGTTTTGAAAGTCATTGACCAAAAGACACTCGTTAAGCGCAGATGAAGTTCTAAGGGACCGGTCATTATTTATCACCTGGGGGGGGGGGG